ATAAACTTCTTGACAATTCACTGCTACTATGACGAATAGAGCGTAGGGAAGATCTATGGCGGCGTAGATATGAGACCTGGAGTGTTTGGAGAGGCTCAAAGCTGGAGAGAAAAGTCTGAGATGTCCCGCTCAGGGCCATCCACGAAAGCTCCTAATCTTGCGCGCCGCTCATAGCATTTCCCTACTCGCCAGTGGTGCATGTAGAAAGCTAACGAGTTCCAAGGCAATGCAATCTCAAGCAGTAAAGCAAATTGTAACCAAAATGTCGCAGAAGATGTGCAGTTTAACTATTCTAGAAGCAGCAATCTACATACTTTTGCTAGCAAATTTGGTGTTATGTCTCGTGCCAAACTTATGAACGACCCAGATGAAAGTTCCTGCCACGACTGGATTAATCATACGGCGAACACGTGGTACTGCACCTGCTAAGGCCCGTAACAGGCACATGACGACACAAAAAATATCTAATATGTGGAGTGCATGTTCGCAATAAACGTTTTGCGTTCAGGCCGGGATGCAAACCCAGATGCTCACTCTTTCCGTTCTTAATGTTGGTGTGCGTAAATAAGAGTGCTATGCAACACGAGCGTCGGTAAATGCAAACGGTTAGCATACGCTTCCCCGGAAAGAGTGAGTATCGTGGGTTCGGACCCGACTGACCGTACACGGTTTTCGCACAAGTCATTACACATTATTGGGCATACTATAACATCATACCACTGCAAGTGGCACTCAAAATAGAAATTACTTTAGACATAACAATATCTATCAGGCACTTGAAATTAGATCTGGCATATAACACTCAAAAATGGAAGATATTTGCTCTAGTTGATGTCAGGGCAGATAGTGCAGACGTTGGATGGGGGAATTCAATCGCCTAATACAAATTGGCAACCAAACCTCAATATCGTCAGGGTTCGAAAGAAGACGAGTACGTCCGAGATGTTAGCCGGAATGAATTTATTGTTTATCAGCTTCATGCTACTAGCTTAACCAAAAAAAGAATAACTCCAATATTCGAAGCTGCTGTAAAATGATGTTAAACGCTGAATCACTAACTTAGACAAAAAGCCCTACCTTCCAACACTGGCGCTCGCAAGGTATTGTACGGGCTCGCAACAAAAATGCTTACTTGGTGACTTGCGATGTAACGATAGAGTTGAACAGCCAGGAATTCTGCAAGAAAAAAAAAAAACGATAGAAAGAATTTCAGTGTAAAGAAAAGCTTGGCGACTTACACGGTGGATACAATTTCATTTCGCCATGTGGTCGAACGATCGACGAATGAGCATACTTATTCTCTAAACAGGATAGGCTGGAGGTGGAGCGGATGATAGGATTCCTTCTCGTAACAGCCGGAAGATACTATAACATTGAAGTAAAGTGTACTCCCGTCAATGGCATTCATGTTGGCACCAACTTCCAATCTTGGATGAACAATAGGTCTCGGCAGTGCAAGAGTGAGCATAGAAATCTTATGTACTACACCTGACCCTTTGAGTACGACTGCTGATCGATTTTCGCAAAGAGGTGCGCAATATCGTCATACTTTAGATTCCATTTATGAGAGAGGTCTCTACTGGAAAATAGGCGCGTGCGCACACTTTTTTCAGAGTTTTCGTTATACCTCTTTTTCCTAATTTTTGGATTTTCTGGCTTTTCTCATTCTAGTAGGTACATTCCTCATAGAAGATCATGAAACGCCGCAGGTCTGAGTCGCTAGCAAGCGTGGTTTGTCCGTTTTTTTTTTTTCGAATTAACCGCTTTTTATCTATGGAATTTTGGGGCGATAAGATAATTTGGTTTCGGAAAATCTTTAAGCTTTCAAAATATCCCCATACTCCACAAGTTCCTCTCTACAAACCCTATACTTTTTATGTACATAAAGCTCTTACGTGCGAAAAAAAAATCAAATGTGAAACGCAATTTTCTCTTCCTTCTACAGCGGCACTACAAAGACTTGCTCAGAAACCAAGCATAGCTTTGGAATCGCCAATTTGTGCTATGAAATAGCAATACTCTAGCATAATGAAAAACCATCCACATACCCTAATTGTGCAAAAAAAAGCACTGCGATATGAATTATGACTTTATTACCACTGCTACAGCATATGAAGAAGGCCTTTTTAGAAATCTAGCATATTACCCGGATAAGCGAGATCTTAGCTTTCGAATGGGTTACTGAATTCATAGCAAGAAGAAGCTCTATCCAAAAAAAAGACTGCTAGAAAATCGCAAGGGGTATGTAACACACAAAATCTCTTTCCAAAAAAGTTTGTTTCGCCAAGCCACCACTAGTGCAGCTGGGCCTCACGTACAAAGAAACCCCTGCTGACAATGAATAGGTACTGCCGTCTTTCCGAAGTACCATACGCATTGACTTCGATGCAATTCGCAAACAGCAAAAAAGTGCGACTGCCTCATCTGCAGACACAGAAAACCATAAGCTTAGCTTTAACTTAATTATTAGAGGATGCTGCAAATTATGCAAGACTTCTGACTCGGCGCGAGTATAACCTGCATTTCACCCATATCGACGGGCTCGCATGCTACCAGCACATCACCGACGACACAGCTCTGCTATCACTCTTTCTTCGACATAAGGACATTTCAGTTGTCAGCAAGCAACCATGGAAGGGTTTTTTAGATTCTGAAGAATCTATTTAAAATAATGCCATGTATCAATTTCGTTCTACCCACCCAAAATCCATCGACTGAGAGGTGGTGATGGACCACCGTTGTGTACACTGTGCCATCACCATACCACATGCCTCCCTCCTTACTACAATGCAGGCTTAATGAGGGCGGGGTCATTGACGAGGAGGCCGAAACCTCCGAAACAGCGGTGTATGGCCCTGGGTACCAACCTGCGTTTAGGCTTAAAGCATTCTTTTTTTGGATCTATTTAGAATAATCATACTACTCTCTGCTTTACCTCGAAACAAAAGTAGTAGCAGCGTAGTGGCACCCGCAGTGTAATGGTAGCATGCGCCCCTGGAAAGGGTGAGACGCTGGTTCAACTCTCGCCTGGAGTACAAAATTTGCATATCATTCGGCATCTTTGGCATATAATTGTAGCATCATAACATTACTATTAAACATCAAAATTGAAAATTTTTGTCCTGAGTTCATGACTGATGACTCGTTAGAAATGTGCAAAAAGTTCTCACTGACTAAGCCTCTTAGAGTAAAAAACAAGAACACTAGGACTTGTAAGAGAGGGTTGGCCGCCACATACCTGTGTTGTCGTTATTGTCGTTACTCTTGCCGGTTCATCATGTCGCTTTGTATGATGCAAATACATTTTGAAAAAACTAAAAAAACACCACGTTAACACTAGAACAATAAAGAAGCCGATAAATTTCAAATGAGAGTAGATAAAGACTCAGTACCTCTGTGATCTACAGAGGCTGACAAGATATATAAACTATACTAACACTAGAGGTAATCAGGGAGTAAACAAATAGCTCCTAAAACTAGTACGGTCCCACTGCCAAAAGTATTGGTCCGGCTATTTGAATTGGTGGCGGACGATGTCGTCGATCAGCTGTCCACGTCCAAAACGGTGAATCGTGCATCAAGAAAAACCCCATGTAAACTGAAGAAAAAACATGCACCAATAGAAATTGTCAAGGAAAAATAAACGTGCAAGAATAAAAACATGCCATTAGACTCCCTCCGAGAATCATAAAAACACCAAAGGCACAAATACAAACGATAGACGATGAGCCACGAAATTTCCTACAAAAATATAACTGAAACTGAAGAGGATGAATCTAGCTAGAAAGAACCCTGCACTACTGGCTGATAAACGCGAAAAGAGCGAGATAAGAAAGGAATTGTGGGATAAGCGCTCACTTCGTTCGATACGGAAAAAACCCAAAGTAGGCCGGATAAAGGACATCCCATCCTTTTGGATAGTAATAAAAATACGGATCCCTTTGGGCCATGGGACCAAAATGAAGCACTCGTGATTGCCTGAAAAAAGAAAGCCTTTGGAAAAACTTGTTTCCCTGAGATTCTGGGAACTTACCAGTCCATTCTGATGGGTCCAATTCACCCGTTTGGATTATTTCGTCTTTCTTGTGCGTAACTTGATGGAGCTTGTCTGAAATAATTATGAAATATCTGTTAAAGTACAACCAAAATCTTGCAATCCTCTTATTCAAACTCTGGACGACACCAAGTACTGGAAACGACTGAGTCATCCAATTTCTAGAACGAAGACTCTACCACTTTATCACTTTGTATCAGTTTTTTCTACTGGGAGGGTCCCAGTACTTCCAGTATTTGAATCGCCTCCTTGCTTGCTTGAGGACTAAATCTTCTTCAAGAACGTCGTAGGATACTCTTCGAGCACGTCTCCTTGCAATCTCGAGGATATCCAGGCCAAAAACGTTCCATAGGGCTTTCGTCATTGATTGTCGTAGAGCGCTGGGAGACTGTGGGTTCGATTACGCGTCAAAACCGCACTAAGCACCACTAGCCACACTTTCATATCCCTCTGCAGACTATATAATTTAGTGAAACTTCACTCTACAGAATACTTTGGAAGGAAGTAACAATCCCGGTCTAACCCTTCCGCTACTACGGCATTTCTCAGATGGCAGCCGGTTCGGACGAGTATGAAGAACCGTAATGGAGGCGACTTCAAAGAAATCATATAGTGACATTTTTTACGTCATTAAAGTCCTTTCAATAAAGATAAAGCTCCTTCAAAGCACCTAGTAAGTACTAAATTTTATTGGCTGTCGTGCCAATCTCTGCAAGTCGTCTGAACAGCGTAGAAACGCGTACGGCGATTTCGCTTCACACCGTAGCGAGGACGGTTAGACCAAGGGATTCCATAATAAAAGGCAAACATAGGATCATACAGGTATTTCAAAATAACAAAGCTCTAGTCATTGATCACCCTCCCAAGGATACGCGCACCATCCGGCTTCATCAGGCATCGAATGAACGGTAATTGGACGCATTCTAGCATTAATAACGAACTCGCGATTTATCAAATCAATGCTCCGACAAGTTCCGTACCGGATTCACCGACTCCGAAGGGATAGAGTACTTGATGAGCTTAAGGCGCGGGATCGAACCATCTACTAAGCTTGTTAGGCTGGCACCCCTAACCACTGCATCACATACGGCCGGAGTAAAGAAGTGTGCTAGGCAACTATAGTGAAAAAGAGGTCTTCATAACGACTTCATAGTCCGCGAAATAGATTGATACGATCGTGACAAAAGGAAATAATAAAGGATTACCTACTTTGTGTTCTGTGCTTTCGTTTTTGATGTGGTCGAGCCGTTTGTTTCGAGAAGAACAGATGTGTACGAACCCGATCCTGTTGGCCATTTGCGGGACGCCCACGCTTTCCTCCCATCTAGAAAAACCAAAGTACATCTAGACTTCAGATAAAAGAAACAGTATTGAAGCGACAGTCGCCTTTAATAACTATGAAACAAGAATATTTCATTTGTAAAAAGCCAGTAGAATATAAGTAATAAGAGAACCTGGGATAATTTTGATAAGATCAGACAAAACTGCATCAACTTTTACTTCGATCCTCTGAAAGTGACAACAGCTTCAAAAAGGCTAGATTTAGTCCCAAAAAAAGCAGCTGCTAATCGTTTCCACAACTAGAACCTAGGAAAGTGTACATGAAACAAGGCGAAGTGATTTCTGATCGCTGGAAAATACTACGCAATTCTCAAAGCTCTTACCAACCATTTCTTATCGTATACTCTCATAATTGCACTTCAAATGGGAATTTATATCAAAGTTTTCCAGACCAGCTACATATTAGGTCGTTTCATATGTCTAAGCACTAAAGCAATAAGCACTAAATTTATTAACCTGAAGTAATCAAAATTACTGATATTGGCATCGTCCAACTGCGCACTTTTTTGCGAGCCTCTGAATACAATTTGCCTAAACTTACTTCAAGAGCTTTGGGAACAAATACGCTAGCTACTCATGCACGAATAGCGCGTAGACGAAAGTGCTTAGATTTCAATATAGTCTGGGCGGTGTGGTGGTAGAGCACGCGTCCCGGATGGGATGAAACGCGAGTTCGATTCCCGCCTAAACCCGCGTTTTTGTTCACCACTCAATTCTCTTAGGTATATAGAAAACATATAACATGCGAAATGCATTAAAATACTATTAATTCTGACTGAATACTTCAATCCTTTCAAGAGGTCTGGTGAATGGCATCTGTTAGTGGTAGACGTACGTTTCAGTTCTTACCAACCGTGAACCATCGACTGACAATCACTCTAGAGCGCAACATCGAGTGATCTTTTCATATGACGTGGAGTGATACATGTTCGGCTCCGTTCCATTTTGTTGTAGGGGTGAACCGCAAGGCATGTGGTACTGATAAAGCCTGCGAGAAAGCCGAAACGTGGGACTACCCCTCGAAATGCCGTATCAGACTTCTTGCAAGGCATAAAACATTCTATCAAACTACCTACTAGAACTACTACTACTGCTACCAACTTCGAATCGGCTAAACAAAGGAAACCCTCTCAATACATACTAGTTAATTTTGCCGAGGTCTGTAGAAAATTAGTCTTTTGAACTGCAGCTTGTTCCGATTAGACAGTAAAACAACACATAGAACGGCTAGCGGTCATGATCACGGACCTCGAGGCACGGGTTCACCCGGAACATCAATGAATCGACCGTTGAAGAAGGAGAAAAAACTGGGTCGTTCCACAAGCTTTGGCAGTAAAGCAATAAACCCAAAATTCATCCACCAGAAGGAATCTGAATTGCATGCTTTTGGCATCGTTGAAATGCGCATTTTTTTGCGAATATTTAGTCAAGAATTTGCCTATATCTGCTATGAGATGGAACTGTCCTGGGAACAAATTTTCTCGCTATCCATGCACGGATGGCGCGTAGGGGAAAATGACAGTGAAGCAGCGCGCAAGATTAATGCAGCTTGAAGCGATGATACAGTTGAAGAAAGCACTGCTGGGAAGAGGTTCGCATAGTTCAAAGCTGGGGAGAACACCTTTATTTCGAGTGCCTTATTAAGACCAAGCTCAAATTTCAATAGATCCTTTCATTATTATTTGAGCCAACTTGTCATGTGGTCTGGTAAGGGCTCTTGTACAGCGCGATACCCGTGTTTCGTCCTTACAGACTAGTCAGTCGGGCAGAACCCGGCGTCTTTTGATCTTTTATAGTCAGTTCTATCAGGTAGCCTACTCTCCCTACAGAGAGTTATCGAAGACGAACGTTTTACACTCTATGTCAAGTGAAATTTTCACCTAACACAGTTGGCTCAGATAATAATTAAAGGATCTATTGAAATTTGAGCGTGGTCTTAACAAGCACTCGAAATAAAGGTATAATATGATCAAAATACCAGCCAAAGAACGATCGAGTGCGCAACACTCTGTGTTAGGGGAAATTTCACTTGACATGGAGTGTAAAGCCTTCGTCTTCGATGACTCTCTATGAGGACTGTAAGGCTCCCTAGAGAACTGACTATAAAAAGATCAAAAGACGACGGGTTTTGCCCGACTGACGAGTCTGTAAAGACGAAACACGTGTATCGGGCTGTACAAGAGCTCTAACCAGACCACATGACAAGTTGGCTCAAATAACAATGAAAGGATCTGGGGAGAACAGCTCGGAGGATCAGTCGCGCTCGAGCCGTCCACAGAATGCTCCACTAATCGTGCGCGCCGCTCACTAGCATCTTCGCCAGCTCGCCTTTCGTGCATGAGTGGTAAGGGAATTTGTAGTCACGACAGCTCTACCCTAACCCTTTTGAGGGCCAGCGCTGATGGGCTCGCGGCGATGTGCCTTCATTTGCGCAGCAGTTAGACAAGCGGCTCTGCACGTCTGCGCATGCGTGTCCGGCTGCCTGCGCCTGCTTTCCCACGAGACGCGATGCCGCCACTACAATAGTTGCGAGAGGTTTGACGTCGCGCGGCGAGCATCCGAATAACCCTCTTGGTCCTCTAAGGGTTAAAGCAAGTATAGGCAAGTTCTATACCAAAATATTCGCAAGAAAATGCGCAA